CTTTTATTTAATCAAAAATTTATTTAAAAATTTTTTGAGATACAAATTTGTATATTCATATGCAGTTCTTTAAAAAATTACAATTTATTTTAACTATTTATATCTATGTAGTTATTCATCCCATTCAATTTTTCATTTCAATATTATTTATTTCAGTCGCCGTTATTCATATTATTAAACTTTATTCTTCTTGTTAACCACCATTTTAAGCTCTTTTCTCATAAATTTTGTCATATTCAGTTCGAATAAAAAGTTTTGAAATTGTTTGAAAAATAAATTGGTTTGTGAATTCAAAGTCTTGATGGTGTTTACCTTATGATTTTTACTGCGAAGTTTGCAATAAAATCTTCAGCCAAAACCCACTTGGTTTTGGTTTAGTGATATTTGAACATTTTACTTGTTATAAACATTGATTTTAATCTCTCTTTGTATCGTTTAGAGATATTTTTTATGCATTTTCACATTATTTTTTTAATGAGCGCATTCTAGAGTTTGAAGCTAGATTGTGGCATTTGGATGTGTTTTTGGTCCTTTTTAAGGTTTAACTTGAGGATATAACTTGGAGAAAGATCGAAGAAACATCATGAAAAATAGGGATTTGATCGGGAAAATAGGAGATCAAACCGACAGATCAAAGTGAAACATGATGATGTTTTACTGCATAATCATGAGCTATGAAAAAGGGGATCAAAACCATTGATCAAACTGACAAACGTCCCAGTGTACCAAAAAGGGGATAAAAAACATCAATCATATCAACGCAGCTCCATAAATTTAGTTTGTTGTCCTGGAGACAATTTGTTTATTTTATAGTTGACTTTGTATTGACTTTTGTTTGAACATTTATTTCTGTCTTCTTTATTTGCTTCTTTTGTTAATTGCTGGTTACTTGTAGTAGTTTGATTTGTATTAAAACCAAAAATCTTATTTTTTTGTTAGTTTAAAAAGCATTTTAGAGTTTTAGTAAACGTCCTTGTGGTTCGACACCTAGCTAATACTATTCGTCTTGCTTTGCATTTGGAATTGTATGGGAATTTAAAAATTTATGCGAATGTTTGCGAGAGAAGAACTCTACTTTAAGTCCATTTGGGAAAAAGAATATTATCAACAAAAAAAAAACCTAAAACCTGATTCCAAATATCATGAGATATTATGGGCTAAAGGTACATAAACATATAGCTGATTCTTTGCGAGAAAAGAACTCTCGTTTATAACTCCACTTAGGATTATGAGTATTTTCGGAAAAATAAAATAAATCCTAACTCCAAATACCATGACATATTATATGGGCGAAATGTAGATCCATCTAGTCGAGAAAAAACTCTAGTTTAAATCTACTTGAAAGAAAAGTATTTTTGAAAAAAAGCAAATTAAAGTTTAACTCCGAATACGAGGAAATATTACGGGTTAAAGATCCAAAACCAGTGGCGGACCCACGTTATGAAGTGGGAGGTCACATGAACTACCCAAAATTATATATTTTATTGAATTAGGCTTGTGTATATAATAGATTTGGTAGATTTTTTGGTCATTAGTTCCTCATATGACCATCTATTCCCTGGTTCAAACCCTATGAGTTACCAA